CCGGTTGTAAACCTTACCAGAATAAAAGCAGAAACACTAATCACTAACTTTCTTACCTTTTCTTACCCTTTTATCCTTTGCCAACCCTAAGTGATGTGCCAGTAAATTGCTTAGTTTTTAACATCAGAACTGACGTTACTGTCTATATAAGTAATCTGAGTTAATGTGAAAGAAATTCGGACGCGGGTTTTATCATATTTACTTAGACTCTTAGGATAGGAAACCCACAATCAGGTGTAACTATGATTTTGTTCAATTTGTGTAAATAAATGATTGCATAATCTTTTATGAATCAACTTGAACTCGTCTGACGTTCCCTCATTGTGTCACTTCACTTTGCACAGACAAATATTAAAGTAATTAGGAAAACCTTGGTAAAATTTTCTCTCATAACTTAGTTATGAGAAGATGTAGGGGAACTTATTTGCATAAGTAACCCCCCCCTACATAATAATATTAAAGAGAAACAGGAAAACAATAGTGTGCATTGCAATGGCAATGTACACTGATTATAACCTTGCTACCAACACACTATCTGTTTACAATTTACACAGATCACTACTTAAAAATACTCTCAATTTTATTAAAGGTCCTTGCCAGCTGACCTATTTTATAAACTGGAATTTTTTTGCCTTATTTTCACAGCTTCTCCTGTGTTGAATTATTAAAAACAAACATTTTTAATGCACCAGGAACTCTACCTGAGGAACAACGAGCTGGACCACCTGCCACCTGATGTGTTCAGCAACATGCCCAAGCTTTCTCAGCTGGGACTCAGTGGAAATCACCTGAAGACAGTGGATGGGAACATTTTCAGCCCTATGCCAGGTTGGATGACCTCCCATGTTCTTCTTATTAAGACAAACTCACTGATTAAAGCAGGGTGCTTCTTCACAGATTTTCTTTACTGCTTCCCTTTAGAGCTGAAGAAGCTGTACCTTCATGACAACCCATGGCAGTGCGACTGTAAGATCATCTCTTTCGTCAGATGGATGAGACAAACCAGGACCACCTTGTCACCCCGGGATGCCCTAAAGTGTGTCAAACCACCACACTTAAGGAACAAAAGTCTCGGCAGCCTGCAAGCTGACAAACTCATCTGTGAGACCTAATGCATAGTAAAAATAACAAATAAATACTCAAGAAAAGGACAATAGCACTATCTATATCAATTTTGATAAGATTTTGGTCAGGATATCCTTTATCTTGTTTACTCGGTAGATTGTTTACTCTGCTTGTGTTAAATGTGAAATATTTCTGCAGTACAATTATATTTTCTGTAGAATATACATTATCCCTCAGTCCCCTCATCACTATCATTGTGAATAAATCCCTTCAATCTGGTCACATTCTGTCTACTTTGAAACATGCCATAATCAAACCTTCTTAACATTTTAAAGGGCCAATATTATGTGTTTCTCAGGCATATATTTAAATACTATATAAAAATAAACTTATCTTCTCATCACTTCCTCTTCTAAATGCCGTGAAATTGGCCTCTGTTTCTTTAAGAACCTCATTCGCTTCTGCCTCGCCCATTTCGGTGCAGGAGGGGGTGTGTTCGCGCTCGCGGGGGGCTGCTATGATGCAGTTTACTTGGCATCTGAAAATACATTTCCTCAAAGGTATTGTAAGTCTGAAAAGAGCTTCACTGAGTGAGAAGTAGCGGAGTTCAGCAGACAGTTTCACTTTCACCCTTGAGCCTGCAGGAGTCATGGGCGGGGTGTGTGGGGAGGTTGGTGGTGGTGGGGGGGTTGCACTCTGCCATGAGGAAGTTCATCTTAAAGACATGTCCCAGGGGTGTTTCTGGTACCAAAAGGTGTTTCTGGTCCCCACCTGTCATTTTGCTTCCCAGCATGGCTTCATAAAAACACTGCAGGATTTCTCAAACATGATGAACGAGTCAGAGCCAGGCTTTGGACATGTTTCTTTATGAGAGTATAACATTATAACATGATATAAAACTCAAAAAAGTTGATTTTACAAAATATTGTCCTTTTTTAACTTTTTAAGCCCTAAGGGATTTTCTTGAGGTTTTTGCTGAAAATCCCATGCTGAAATGTAACTGAGTGTATCTCAGCATTTACAAACTCTACTTAAATATTCTTGGTATCAAAATGAAGCTAAAACTTGGGAGATTTCATCAGAAATGTGAGTATTAAAACAGCTGCTGTGGTTTTAGAGATATTGGGGATAGAACCTAACTACTCTCACCTGAATAAATTTTCATTAGACAGTATATAACCCATTTAAAACCATAATGAATCAGGCTAAAAACTCATGGAAACCATAAATCCACTTGTGGACATTACCTGTGCAAATATTCATGCTGCTAAAATGAACTGGAGCAAAGTTACAGAGGTTTTAGCAAAGAAACAATTTTGCATTTTATCATTCTGCACAGGACAGACCATGTTGGTACCATTAATAAACTTTAGGAAATCTGAAGTTTTTACCCCCAAAAGTTATTTTTTTCTTACTGTTGGATTTTTTCTTCTGTAAATAGTCAAATGAATGGTCAAACAACCCAAGTGGACCAACAAAATCAGACAAATCAGACAAACAGTGAAAATTTAAAAGATACACTTTGCGCAAAGGGAGAGGTTCAGTGTGTCCAACTTAACAGCAGTTGAAAACAGAGAAGTTCTGCCCGTTTGAGCCGGAGTGATCATATTTATTAAGTTTCAGGAAAAGAGGAGTGGAAAATATCAGCCCACCAGCATACCAGTTACTTTTACTGTTGCTGGGTGACGGGACGGTGGGAAAACAGCTACAGTTATACAAAATACAACTGGTTCTTTCAGACAATACAAAACAGATAGTCTGGGAATATTCTGCAGAACTTGCACCTGCCAGCGGTATTATCACGGGTCAGGCTGAGAAAAAGGAAACATTCCCAGCATTGCTCCTGAGCCGGCTAACGCACGAACATGCAAAAAAAAAAAGAGCAAAGTTGATTAAAACTGTACACAATAAGACTTGAATAAATTGTTCATAAAATGAGAATAAATGAATAAAGAAAAATCATTACTAATAATATGTAAGTTCTTTCAGTAAAAAAAAAGCTGCTGCTGCTGCTTCTTTGATAGAATGCAGCCTGCAGTTCCAGCCAGTGAGAGAGAAACAAAAGAGTTTTGCTTTACTTGTTAACAGTATAACTTTTTAAC